CTGAACTCCAAAAAGTTTTTGCAGAAAGTGATTTATTTAGGCAGAGAAAGAGGAGAGAGAAAAAGGCTTCCACGAAGAGTGTGGAAGGGGACCCAAGTATGGAATCCAAAGGGATGTGGAAGAAGGGGACTTTTAACCTGGGAGGAATTCCCTCCCTCTCCAAGTCCCCTGGCCAGTGAAAGGAATTCCTTTAAACTTCCACTGGAGTGATTGACTTATGATTTTTTTCCTGTGCCTGTGAAAATTAAAACAGAAACTGTTAAATCTCTCAGATGGAGAGGCGTGAGAGGGGGACATGGCACTGGGAAGTTCTTGCCCTTAAAACTACGCCCCTTGTGGACCCAGAAAAAGAACACATTCCCTCATTCCCCCTCCTGAACAGGAAAGTTCAACTTCTGTTGTAACACGGGCATCGATCGCTCTTTAACTACTTCCTGCTGAAATGGGTCATAGAAGGGGCCCTGCAGTTGAGGTTTTCTCCAGATGGGAGTCTTTTAGGAGTGCAGATTGATCCTGAGGCCCATGATAGGGCTGATGAGCCAAGGACATTTGGGGTTTCAGTGGCAGGATTATTTGTGACCTTATGGTTCTAGAAGAAACAAATGTGACAAGGTGGTTAGAGATGAAAGGCCCAGAGGCCAACAATTATAGAATGTTTATAAACGAGCCTAGGACAGAATAGAGCCAGGACAGTCAGTTGTTAAACAAGCTTCATGATACTGTTTTTTGAAGGTCTTTAGCCCTGTGTTTGATTGACTCCTGAGTTCTTTATGTTTAAAACAACACAACTGGTTTACAAAGTGACAGCATTTTCCTAGAAAAAGACGGGTTCCCTTCCCACTATGAAAAGGATAATTGGAATTTGAGTTATTTTGGTCAGGCCAATTTCTCCTCCCACTGCCTGTAGGGGACAGAGTTGGGGCATCCTGGTAGTCTGAGATGCCCTGGCCATCTCGGCCCTTCCTGGCTCCTGCTGGGGTACAGGGGCTGAGGAGCCCTGGTTGGCACTGGTGGAGGTAGTTGCCACAGGGAGTCCCACATATGGAGGCAGTCCTGGGGAGGGCTGAGTGGGGTATGGGGTACAGGCCTGACACAGCTGAGACTTATTCCTTAGGAAAAAGAAAAGTTGCAAATAGGGGACCTCAAACCATTTACCCTCACTTTTACAATACAGGTCTAATTGTAGAATAGTGTCATAATCTATACTTCCCTTTAGAGGCCAGGTTTTTCTGTTAGGCTGGGGGCAATTTGGCCATGCTGTTTGGCAGAAGAAAATGAGCACTTCTTCTTCAAAGATCATGTGTTCAATTGGTCCCAGTTCTCCAGGATACATTTTAATGGGGACTTGATCTTGGGAAGATTGGCACCCATCTGAAATCAAACACAAGGAATGCCACTATCCCCGGTTATTTAATTATAGCCGCTCGACCTGAGGCATTCCTCAGGTAAGGTACTGCAAACTGGAGCGTCCTCCAGTCAGTACCTTAAAGTTTCTATGTGCGAAAGATGTGTGATTATTTTTTGGGGGGGCCTCCCATGTACTGGATTCCAGTGACCACTACAGAGGCATGAAGGGCTGCTGGGTTGAGTGGTTCATACCAACGAGGCCAGTGAGGCTTAGGAGATGGGTACCAATATTCTCCAGCAAAAGTCCAATTTACACAGGCCAAATTATAAAACTGCCCTAGAAGGGTAAACTTTTAGGGAGGGGCCATTAGAGCACACAGTTTAAAGAAGGCAGGCCACACGGCTGAGGACAGAACAATACCCTCAGGAGCCTGGCCTCCCCCAACCCATTTTCCATAGTAGGAAAATGCCCTTAGGGTTGTGAGGCCTGCCATTAACTATTTGGGCCCTGGAACCGGTTTAACTATGATCTTCTAGATGGAAAAGTTTCGTCGTAGAGAGCCAATCCTAAGCGAGACAAATTATACAGAAAACACAAAGTCCCATAGCCTTCAACTTCTGAATTTCCCCAATTCAAGCCTGACTCCACCAAGGATTTGGGCCAGTAACCTTGCATCTGCCAGTCCCCCTTCACCATTTGGCCACTTGTGCTAAAGCAAGGCAGAAAGCTTTCTTGAGCCTTACCTGAATGAGACTGCTGCTCCCTGGGCAGTGTGGCTGTCTGGAAGCCGGGCGGCAGCCATTTTCTTCCTTCAGCTGGTGCGCGGAGAGGAAAAAACTGCTTGCTGCTGTGATTTTAAAAGCCGGGCATGGGTCACTCAAGCTGCCAGACTGGCTGTGAGTTCCGGGAACAGTGCCCTGCTCCCACAGCTTTCAGTCCGCCATGTTGACCCTGCCAGAACCATGTGCAGGCTTGGGCCACTCCCCAAGCCTCTGCCTCTCCAGCCGCCACCCACACAGGGACCAGGCGCTGGCAGGCGAACGCCCAGGGGGAGCCTTTTTACACTGCTATGTGCTGGAGGGTAAGGCTTGCCCTGCCCCTTGTGGCGTCCTGTTCCGCCATGATGCTGGGACCATGTGGGCACCCTGGGCCCCTGTTTCACTGCTGTCTCTGACTAGGGAACGCCAGAGAGTCTTGCCAGGCTCTCCTACAGGCCACCACGCTCCCCAACCCCCTGCAGGTTGGGGCTATACCTCGCCCCCTCCCTGCTGTTTTTCTCTGGCCAGCAGTGCCGGCAACAGCGGCCACGGGCACATGCCTGGGCCCACCCCAGGGCTGAGCCATGGTTTCCTGGGCTGGCAAGGAAGGAAAGACTCCAGGGGATTGCTCACCTGTTCTGCCCCACAGGCTCCATCGGGTTTTTTGGCCCAGAGATAACAGCTGGAGGATAGAGAAGGAGCAGAAAGCAGACAACTGCACCTTTAATTCTGGCTGGCCAGCGCCTCTTGAACATGGGCTGGGCCATGCCCCTGCAACTGGGCGCTGCTCTGATGTTCTTAAAAAGACAGACAGAATGGGGCTGGTTTTACAATTTGAAATCTTCTCCTGCTGTACCCCACTCCTGGCTGGCTCACCACTAATGTTCCTGGGTTTTGGGGTGCACGGGAGCACTTACCTCCCCTGAGAGGACGTGTTTCCAGGCTCTGGGTCTCTCACTCACCCAAGAATGGGAGAGTGGACCACTTTGGGCACGGTACGCTTGTAAAGTAAATACCAGAGAGAAAAAAATAAGAGAAAATGCCTTCCACGAAAAGTGTGGAAGGGGACCCAAGTATGAAATCCAAAGGGATGTGGAAGAAGGGGACTTTTAACCTGGGAGGAATTCCCTCCCTCTCCAAGTCCCCAGGCCAGTAAAAGGAATTCCTTTAAACTTCCACTGGAGTGATTGACTTTTAATTTTTTTCCCACACCCATGAAAATTAAAACGGAAACCGTTAAATCTCCCAGATGAAGAGGCATGGGAGGGGGGCATGGCGCTGGAAAGTTCTTGCCCTTGAAACTATGCCCTCTTATGGACCCAGAAAGAAAATACATTTCCTCAATAGCAGTTATGTGAGAAAAGCTGTCTTGATTCCTCCAGCCCAGCCCAGCCACCACCTGAATAATACCAAGTGTATGTACCTCAAATGGAGCAAAAGAACTGCTCAGTCAAATCCTGCCCAATGTCCTGACTCAGAAAATAATGAGAGAGAATGAAATGATCGTTGTTTTAAGCCACTGTGTTTTGAGGCACCTTATTACACAGCAATGGATAACAGAATAGTATTTAATATACATATGAAGACAGGTATTTGGGACAACTGCCTAGATTAGCACTTACCAGGAGTCCCCTTTCCCTATCTCTCCACCCCATGCTGCAGTTTGGGCTGCATTTCTTGCTCCTCAGTCACCTGGAGCACCCATTCCCCTGGAGCTCCATGAGCCCTTTGGACTCGGAGAGCAGGGGTTTGCCCTTCAGTGCCTGCTGAAGTAGATCTCCAGGTAGTAGAGCACCTTGGCCATGCACAGTGCTTGGCAGAGCAGTGAGGGCTTCATTTTGCTCATTGCACTCAGTATCTCCAGGAACTCTGGGGCTCTCTGTCAAACCTCGCTCTGCTCCTTCCTCCCCTCAAGGAGCCTTGGATAAGGCTTCTAACAGCCTGGAGGCTCCGGGCTGCCAGGCCCTGCCAGACTGCCCTGGGGGCCAAGGGGATTAATATCTCACAGCACATCTGTAACTGATTCTTGGCATTCCAGGGAGTCTGGCACAACTGTGAGCAGCTCTGAATTAAATCAAGCTTCTTAATTTGTGTGGCTCAAATTTTTAAAAGTCTTACTAATTTTTTATTTGCTTGATTACCCCCTTACTATCTTATGTCTTTTATTATCTATTTAATTGTGCCCTTTTTTTGAAACCCTAACTTGGTCATGATTGTTGTGCTAATCAGCTGCCTTTGCTTTCAGATCCATTTCCTGCCTTTCTCTTATTCTATTCTGTATTACAGCCAACCACATTTCCAGGCTCCCTCGTTCTCTGCTGTCTAGGTGAGGTTAGTCAGTGAAAGACATTGGTGGAAGTTTGGATGCTTCTTCTAGCATCTCTGGTGGTGGCTGTGTCTCCTCCATGACTCCAGCTCCCACTGGGGGACACTTACTTCATGGTTTTAGTGTTGCCCAGTGGCCTGGCTTCTGGGCCTTGTTTCTGCAGCCCAGGGAGAGTAGCAGCAGCCTGCTGTTTTTAGTGTCTAGGTTGTCACTCTTTTCCATGTTTGACTTCTCTGTGCTTCCATGACCCATGTAAGTCATTAAATTCCCTCTGTCAAAAAGACTTAGGTTCCTGTTTCATGACTGGATGCTGACTGATAATATTATTACCATTGTAACTATTATCATTGTTATTGTTTTTATTATTTTATACTGTCAATGCCTGCTCAAACTTACCCATGTGTTTTCAAATTAGTGTGATCACCTTGCATTTTGCATTCCACTTCTTTACTTTTGGTTGTTTTCTTCATTTTTCAATATATCCTTAATATTTATTTCTATAAGGATCTGTGTTTTAGATAACTTACAGATTCAAAATTTTAAAATATAGCTTTTTGTCATTTATTTAAGATCTTTATGCAAGAAGAAATGAGAAGATGAACAGTTAGAGGCCAGGATTACCTACCACAGCTCAAGTCGACATTAATTTTATGGTTTAATTAATTCTATAAATTTTCTTTTCTATATGAATACAAGGTTCCTCCCTCCCTGTACTCACACATCTACCTCTTCTAGGAGTTGCTTTGGGATCCACAAAGAATTTGGGGTGGTCCAGTACTCATAAGCCAACAAACTTTAAAGGAGAGTCGAATACACATTTTCAAAACAAGGGGACTGAAACGAGTTGAAATAGACATACAAAAAGAGATTCAAGTGTCCATTTTAAAAGGAGGAGATTCATTGAAGAAGTAGGGAAATATGAAGTTGAAAGACTCTGAAGAGGTTATGATAGTTGTTAAAGGGAGTAGAACATTGAAACATTTTTGTCTGTTCCATCTTAATTTTTAAAAATGATCGCATAGAGTTTGGCCAATTATGGAGGGGCTGATTGCATCATTATCAATGAGCAGTAAACTTTCTTGGTCTTTTACTTGGAAAATGTATTTATTTTACTTTCAGTTTTGAATGAGACTTAGCTGGTGCAATGGACTAAATTGTGTTCCTCCAGAATTCACATGTTGAAGCTCTAATGCCCAGTGTAACTGTATTTGGAGACAGGGCCTTTAAAGACGTAATTAAGGTTAAATAAGGTCATAAGGATGAGGCTTAGCCCAATATCACCATTCTTATAAGAAGAGACACCCTGGATACATTTGCATACAGAAGAGGTCACAGGAAGACACTGCAAGAAGAACCGGAAGGCTCTGCAAGCCAAGGAGAAACCAAACCTACTGACACTTTGATCTTTGACTTCTGGGCTCCATAACTGTGAAAAATAATCTTCTGTTGTTTAAGCCACCTAGTTTGAGGTATTTTGTTATGGCAGCCCTAGAAAACTAAATACAGCTGGGTATAAAATTCTAGGTTGATGATTTTTGCTTTTATAGTAATTTGAGAGGCGTGTCTTTGAAGCTCTGCAGTTGCATTACATTGTGTCTTGCTTTGGATTTGTTTCATTCAAGCTTTATTTATCCTTCCTCGAATTCATTATGATTTTTGAACTCCAAGATTCAAATGTTTTCATCATTGATGAAAACATTTCAACCGTTTTCTCTTTAAATATTGCCCCTGTCTTATTTTCCTCTATTTCACATTCTTGTAGTTAAATCCATTGGTTCCCCTCATTCCATCGTCCATCTCCCTTAATCTTGCATATTTTCCAGATCTTTATATCTCTGTGCCTTTTGAGTAATGTCCTAAAATCTGTTTTCCAGTTTATAAATTCTCTTGCTTTATCAAATCTGCTATTTAACCTACTTATTTAAGTTTTTAATTTCCTTGACGTATACCTATGTGAATAAGTGGGTTTTTACCAAGACCACCCTTTCATGTAGAATATGGGATTTGAAGGCTCCTAGTTTCTATGCAAAGTTCTCAGTTCCAATTTCCTCCCCACTTGGGCCCAATGCTTATCTCATGTTTCCACATGAGCATGAAATCCCAAGCCCTTGGGTGAACAGAATTAATAATCACTGGCTAGGCACAGTGGCTCACGCCTGTAATCCCAGCACTTTGGGAGGCTGAGGTGGGTGGATCAGGAGGGCAGGAGTCTGAGACCAGACTAGCCAATATGGTGAAGCCCCGTCTCTACTAAAAGTACAAAAAAAAAAAAAAAAATTAGCCAAGCATGGTGGTATGTGCCTGTAGTTCCAGCTACTTGGGAGGCTGAGGCAAGATAATTGCTTAAACCTGGGAGGTGGAGGTTGCAGTGAGCCAAGATCACGCCATTGCCCTCCAGCCTGGTTGACAGAGTGAGACTCCATCTCAAAAAATAATAATAAATAATAATCACCCCCTTCTACCTCCATAGCACAGCTACATCATGAGCTGACAACTTTGTTCTGTTTTCAATTAACTGTTGGTTTCTGATGCCTGGGTATTTTTCTTTCTTGAGGGCTTAAGCATGAATATAAAACATTTTAAATGTTACATTTTATTCAATATTTCCAGCTTTTTAGTGGTGAGATTTATCTTACTCTCCCATTTTATTAAAACAGAAAGTCTTGAATAATATTTTAATAGTGAGAAAAAAGCCTCATTATTAGTTTTAGAAAAAGAGAGACAATCTGTGTTGTTCTGGAACCAAGACAAAGTTCTAGAAAATTCTCTCTTGATCCCTAAGCAGCATAGAAAAACCAGGTAAGTTGGCTATGTTCACATTTAGGAGTATGATGGCAGATGGATCTAAAACCTATCCTATATCTACATCTTGGTGACCACATTAACCTGGCATCAGATAGCAAGAGCAATTATTGAGTTCACTGGAGATCCTTGTGAAGTATGAGTAAAGTTGAAGTCAGAGCAAGTGTTAGAACTTTGAGTTATAGTCATGGCTCTAGACGGATTCAAAAGGCCAGGGCCCAATCAATTTACTTGTTAACTTATAATCTTAATTAGATTTTATTAATACAATAATCAAATAATTGTCCAGCACCTACTAAGCCAAATCCTAGAGATATGGAAAAGCAGATAAAAGTTGCTACCCTCAAAGAACACAGTTCAGTAATAAGAGACTGACTTGGAATCACCTATCATATAAATTTTGATGGATTATTATTGAGGTCCAAAGGATGGAGTGGTCAGTTGAATCTTCCTGGGCAAACTGTAATCAGAAAGTCCCAGGAGTAGTAAATGAGAGTATTAGAGGCCTAAGATCTTGCAATCAGATTTATAGAAGGATATTTAAGGTGTGCAGGCTTCTCCATGACTAGCCCCAATGCCTTGGGTGAAATGGATACAAAGGTACAGACTTCTTGCATCCTTTCCAGGACATCAGGTGGCTTAGAGCAATATCTGCAAAATGTTGACGATTGCTGAAATGCAGCCTACAGCATCCACGGGGGCTTGCCCTTCTTCAACCATTCAGTAAATAGCACTCAGTGGAGATTCTGGCTGAGGATACTTGTTTTCAAAACAACAGCCCTGAGCCAACCTTCTTAAGTAGTTCCATATGCTTTCATGGAGAGTTTATGGATTGTGGCCTTCGGAATTCTTTTGTTTATCACTGGGAATTCAAGTCCTGAAAGCTGCTAACTAACCATGAGGTCTGCTGGTTATACAAGCTGTTGGACCTCTTAAGGACTTTGACATAAGGACCACTTTCTGTGAAATAAGAATTAGTGGTTTAAAAAGAGTGCACTTAACAGTATCATGTAAGTATCAGTTTCTGTATGTCATTACTAGCCAGGCTTTTTTTTTTTTTTTAAACTGGACTATGCTGCCTTGTATGTACACTTAAATGAGGCCCTTAAGGGGAAATCTGAGCAATGTCTTTAAACAGAGACTTATAATCAGAAGGATCTTTTTTTTAAAAAAAATGAACCACTATCTTCAGCAGACCTAAAAGCAAGATGGAAAGGTAGATACTTCCCCACCTGGGACCCAAAGCAGGGCCCTTCAAAACATGAAGGTCCAACATTCCCCTGGGCCTTCTCTGTCCTCCCCACCCCCATCAATACCCAGCTTGCAGTGATATTCTTTTACCCTTTACTAATCTAATGCCAAACACATGTAGGATCTATCCTGTTTCCAGGAAAGAGGTTTCCATGAATTGCCTCATCAGCCTTACTAATAGCTACAATTTATGGAGCACTTTGTGCCTGCCCGGCACTCGGTTCCTTTTATACTTGATCTCTTTTCATCCTTTCTTCACAGTAGCCCCATGAGATGGGTGCTATAATTATTTCTCATCTTACAGATAAGGAAACCAAAGCTCAGAGAGTCTGAGCAATTTGCTTAAAGTTACTTAACAGCTATATTAGCCTACTGCTTATAATTCGACTACCTGTGTCTGAGGCTATGTGAATTCAGGTCGCCTGACTCAACGCTCTTAGCCAACGTGCTAGCCTCCCTCCCACTCTCATGGGAAAGATCTACATGTTTCTTACGGGATCTCGCTTGATCTCTAAGGCTCTTTTCCAGCTTGAAAGTACAATGGTTCTTCTCCAGTGTCAGTTGTGTTGCTGTTCATGCTGTTTTCCTGTAAAACAATGTAAGAAAGAGGCTGATAATCTCCCTCCATGAAACAGTTCTTCACACATTTAAAATCATCTATGGCTGATCATAGGTGCTTCTCCGGAGAGTGAATGGTCTTGGCTGGTGCAGAAGGGTAACACTCTGGAAAGGCGGATGTGAGACCTGGCAGCTCTGCCTGGGTACACGTAGCTTAGGGCTGACAAGTGAGTCAGCAGAAGTGAGTAGACAATACTGTGTTGAGTTTTAACATGATGAGTCAGCCTTGCTATCTGGCCAGCTTCAGTGCAGCCCCCTGAAGTTTTAACAGAATATTAATTGCCCTTTTACTTCCTGTTCCACACAGCTGGGTGGGATTGCTACCAGCCACACTGTTGAGAAGTTACACATTTTAGCTCAGCCTAGAAAGGTTTCCTGTGGTGGGTGAAATGACAACATGCGCAAAGGTCAAACTCCAGATGTGGGAATCTGACCTTTTCTCCTCTTGGGGAAAACATTGCCTCATTATAATCTCAAAAGATTTTTGGTACAGGTTTAAGGCTAGAGTCTACTGAAAGATCCAAACTCCTCTAACATAGAGGATGCCAGTCTGTTGCATGTAAATTTATCCAAGGCTTTGAGACCACCTACAAAATTCCTGAGCCAAGGGACCAGAGGAAGGAGGCAAATGTTTAGGCATATCTGAAGGAGGGGGCTAGACCTAGAAGTTGCTGCTTGCTCCCAGAAGTTGGAAGGCATTTCAAGATGAGGAATGAGTTGTTTCTGGATTGATGCCTTCACTGGCTAGAAATGCCAGCGGGGCGGTGGGAAGAGTACATGGCAGGATGATGAGGTGTTTCCCATTCATTCATTCATTTAGTCATCTGTTTATTCATTTTACAAAAATTCTTACCAGATTTGCAAAATTCACTCACAGTACACTCAGAGATGATGAGAAAATGTAACTTAATTTTTTGTATTAGCTGGTGGAATAGTTCCTTTAGATTTCCACTACTGGACCCTAGAGTGGGAATTAAATTTTAGCCCAATCTGGTAAACTTAGTTCCAAGGTAATTATCTAGGTTGAGCTAAAAGTTTCCTTTCATCTTTCAGGTTTCCTCTCCACACCTCTGCCCCTGTGCAAGTTGACCTCTGAGTATGCAGCTGGTAAGAGATGGAAACCCTTGTTCATAAGCTTTGTGGTGCTGTTGGCAGGATGAAGGGATTCTGGATCCTCACGGGTCACTGTGGCAGAGCAGCTGGTGTTATCTGCTCCCTAGACAGGAACCCACTGAAGAATTTGACATTCTTTGATATGCTGGCATTCATTGCTACAGCTCATCATCCCAGCCATCAATCCAGGCCATCGGTCCTTGCCCATGGTGGGAAGGTGGAGGAGGAAGCTGGCTTTGTTCTGACCTCGGGCTTCTGCTATTCCACCAGTACTTTCTGTGGAGGAAATGGGGAGAGAAATGGCTGCTCAGATGAGAAGATGTGTCAGTAAACTTTTGCTACAGCGATGCTGCAAAACAAACCACCAGTGACATTCAGTGGCACATAGCAATAAACGTTTATTTAGCTCAGGGATTTTTTTTTTTTAATGGCCAAATAGTAAATATTTTAGGTATTTCAGGCCATACAGTCTCTGAACTCTGGCCTTGTAGCACAAAAGAAGCCTTAGATGCTATGCAAATGGAGGAGTATGACTGTGTTCCAATAAAACTTTATTTATGGACACTAAAATTTGTATTTCATGGAATTTTTATGTGTTAAGAAATATTACTCTTTTGATTTTTTTCAACCACGAAGTTGAATGGTCTGTGAGTTTTTTTCATAAGTCATACAAAAACAGATGGCAGGCCAGACTTGGCCTGTGGCCATAGTTGGCTGAACCTTGATTGAGCTCATGAATCTGCTCTGGGTTAGGCTCGGCTGCGCTGTGCTGCACTCAACTGCAGTCGGCTGTGAGTTGGCTAGGCAGCTCTGCTGATGGTGCCAGGGCTCATTCACATGTATGGGGATTGTTTGCCATTGGCTGATCCACATTAACCTTGGCTGGGATGGCTGTGGCACGTTGGCTCTGCCGAGTGAATAGTGAGCAGGTCAGCCTGAGCACACCCTCTTGGCAGTGGTGGAGACACACGAGTCTAAGTGGAAATGTGCAAGCACTTTCAGAAACCTCTGCTTGAATATGTTCACCAACATCCCACGAGACAAAATGAGTCACCAGGCTAAAGCCACAGTCAGGTGATTTGGGGCAGAATGCCCCTCCCAGAGTGAGAGGCACTGCTAAGGTACCTGGCAAAAATGACAGATGTGCTGGAGCCATTAAGACACTCAACCTACCAAAGGACCTCAACTGGGGATAATTTTTGTTTGTTTGTTTGAGATAGGGTCTCATTCTGTCACCCAGGCTGGAGTGCAGTGGTATGAACATGACTCACTGCAGCCTCAACCTCCCAGGCTTGAGTGATCCTCCTGCCTCAGCCTCCCAAAGTGCTGGGATTACCAACATGAGCCACCATACCCAGCCAGTTATTTTATATTTCACTTTTTATTTTCTTAGAGATGGGTCTTTACTCTGTCACCTGGACAGGAGTGCAGTGGCACCATTTTAGCTCACTGCAGCCTCAAAATTCAGGACTCAAGCAATCCTCCTGCCTCAGCCTCCTTAGCAGCTGAGACTACAGGCATGCACTCCCACACCCAGCTCAGTTTTTAAATGTTTTGTAGAGTCGGGGTCTCACTGTTTGCCCAGGCTGGTCTCAAACTTTTGGCCTCAAGCGATTCTCCCACCTCAACCTCCCACAGTGCTAGGATTACAGATGTTAGCCACTTGCCCAGCTGAGAATTTAAAAAATATTCTATTTGTGATCCTTTCTTTTGGTGTGATGCTAGACCAGCTGGGGTATGATTGTGAAACATGTAAGTGAGGGACACAGACGTGGTGAAACAAATAAGTGTGATCAGAGAAGGGAGAGTGTGTGTGCAAAGGCACAGAGGCAAGAAAAAGCTTCTTTTTGGAAAGACAGTGCTAGGTGGAGTTAATATATAGTTGGAGAGGAGAGTGGGGAAGAGCGGGCTGACTTCAAAGTGGATCTGATAAAACTTGGTAATGTTTTGTATGCAGTGGGCTAGGTTGTGTCCAAAGAAGCAGTCATTTGAGAGTGAGCAAAAATGAGGATCCTGGTTTAATCTTTTTGGCAATAGTGTGGCCCTGTGGCAAGGATGTGCAAAGCACTGGTCTGCCCGCCTCCTTTTCCTATTCGGTGAAGGAAGGGGTAAGGAAGAGCACTCAGAGTGCACAGATGGAGTCTCAATTCAGGGTGAAACGGGATTTTAGATCCAGTTTCCTGTCATAGCGGTTTTAGAGCAAAGAATCAGAGACTCTGCTATTTTCTGGTATAAAATGAGAGCAGCCATATACTTCCTATGCCCTTGAATCAAGATCAGACAATTCCAGGAAAGAGCTAAGCTTTAACCTTTGACCTCTAGGGGTAAAGTCTTTCTTTCCTTTCTCCCTCCCTCTCTTCCTCTCCACCCCCTCTCTTTTGTTTATGTTTTGAGCTGAGTAAGAGGGGAAATTGGGGCCTGATATATTACAGACTCCAACTAGAGTCCTTGGCATCATGGAAAATTCCTTGACTTGTTTTGCAAAGGTTGGCTGCATCCTGAGATTCCACTGTTACAAAGTGGAGTCATGTATATGACATAGGTTTTGCATTAGGACTCAGGAGGATTTTGCTTATGAAACAAAATGTGCAATCTGCTTAGTTTCCCGGTGGCAAAGCAGAAAACTAGATCTATTTGTTATAGAACTTTACGCTTCAGTTTTTCCCTCGTAATTACAGATGTGCCTTTGAAACTCACTGCAGCAAATTCAGTGAGACCGTACAATTTAAAATGAATATAAAATATATTTAGAACGAAGCATCATAGGTTTAAGAATAGAATATTTTAAAAGCACACACACAAAAAAACAAGCTCAATGTGTGTGTTACCTAAATGTTAAATGGGTTTCCCTTTTCCTTATCTCCTAAGTCCTGCTGTCCAAGATCCCTTGATTCTTTGCCTGGAATCAATGATGTCATTCAGAGGGAATGTTTGAAGGCCCTCTCCTAGCTCAACCCCCCATTTCAGACGGCATTAGCGTCACTAGGAAAGCATATTTGAAACCAGGTTTAAGAAGAATGATAATTTGCATTTTGCTTTTGTAGTTTGCTGTTTTCCCCTCTAGATTATCTAGTTTAAAAAGGAACTTTCATCATCCTTGAAGTTCTATGTTGATCAGACATTTTGTTCCTATTATTTCCTCTTTGTTCACATTACATCAATGAGAAAGTCGAGAACAGATCTGAAAGAAGTCAGATTATGAGCTAACAGGGTCCTGGGGAGCGATACCTTAACTCTAGAGCTGATCAGTTCTGTGGAAGATGCTATTGATGCTGAGTGCATCTGCCTAGGTGGTCTCATCCAGAGCTTTCAATGCTGACTCATCAGTCACTATTTCTTCTTATGCCTTAGATCTGTATATTTTAACCACTGCTTGACCTCTTGAGACTGTGCATGTCTAAGAGTCAACCTCGAACTCTTTGTGGCTAAAAGAGGTTCTGCACTCACCTCACCCCATACACCTGCTTCTCTTTCTGCCCTCCCCAGATTAGTAAATAGCACCATCCGTTCAGCTGCTTACTGGAAATCTTGGGAGTCACCTTCATCCCTTCCTTTATTTCATACCTCACCTGCAATCCATCAGCAGGTCCTGCAGCTGCACATGGTATCCGAAGCTGATGACTTCTCAGCACCTCCTGGCTGCAGCCCAACTGAGCCATGTAGCATTATTCTCGCTGGCCTCTCTGCTTCCCCCATAGCCAATCTTCGGACCGCAGCTAGAAACATTTTTTTCAATGAGTGAAGATCAACCTACTACCCTGCTTCAGCTCCTTTTATGTTTTCTTTTTTTTCACCTAAAATAGAATGTAAGCTTCTTACCCAGGGCTGCAAGGCCACACAACCTAAACTTTCTCCCATTCCCTGCTCAGCCTCTATCTCTACCTACACTCTCTGTCCCTTGGCCTTCCAAATGTAACTCTGTATTGGGGCGTTTGCTTTTGCTGCTTGGAATGCTCTTTGAGAAGGTCCCTGCCCTTTTTCTCAGCATTTCAGGTGCCAAATCAAATATCAGATCCTCAGAGAGTCCTTCTCAGACTATCCTAGCAGGAGTAATAATATTGTCCCTCTTCCATCACTCTCTGTTTTTTTTATGAGACAGATTCTCACTCTGTCACCCAGGCTGGAGTGCAGTGGGGCGATCTCGGCTCACTGCAACCTCCACCTCCAGGGTTCAAGTGATTCTCCTACCTTAGCCTCCCAAGTAGCTGAGATTACAGGCACATACCACTGTGCCTGGCTGATTTTTGTATTTTTAGTAGAGACAGGGTTTCATCATGTTGGCCAGGCTGTTCTCAAACTCCTGACCTCAGGTGATCTGCCCACCTCAGCCTCTCAAAGTGCTGGGACTGCAGGTATGAGCCTCTGCTCTTGGTGTCTGTCTGTCTTAATGATCATTTTATTTTCTTCTTCACACTTAGAATTATCCAAAATATTTATGTATTTATTCTCTGTCTCCTCTATCAGAATAGAAACTTCTTGCAGACATGGATTTTTGTCTTGCTCATTGTGATGTGCCTCACAGCTAGACAGTGCTTAGTACAACACAGGTACTCGATAAATGTTTGCTGAACTAATTTAAAAACACAAATAAGGTAGGATTTACTTTGATGACCTGGTTTTTTAAAAGCCTATGATGAGTGTTGAATTCCACCAGGTTCAGCTATGCTTCTTCCATTTCTAGCTCACGAGAGCCGGGCCCAATGTTGCTGAGCCCTGGTTCCTTCTGATCCATGCTCTCATCATCCCCGCTGGGTCAGCATTTCCTCCACCAAATACTTGTCCAGCTCTTATGATATGACAGTCATTGTTCTGAGCCTCAGGAGACAGAATGGAATAAAACACACATGAGCATCTGCTTTCACAGAGTTTATATTCTGTGTATCAGCCCAAATGTACATTTGTACCACACAAATGTGATAGAACCAGCTCTGCATCAGGGTGGCCTTGACGGGAATTGGTTCAGACAGTTTCCCCTATTTGTCAGAAATGTAAGGGGTTCCTCAACTGGAGTGCTTGATTGTCCCAGAAAAGAAAAGTGAGGTGGAGCCTGGCCTAGGATAATGCCAGGACGGCCTTAAGAATGGAGCACAAATAGCACAGAAATGGAATCAACTCAGGTGTCAATCAGTTAGGGCCGGGCGAGGTGGCTCATACGTGTAATTCCAGCACTTTCAGAGGCTGAGGCGGGTGGATCACAAGGTCCGGAGTTCAAGACCAGCCTGACCAATATGGTGAAACTTTGTCTCTACTAAAAATACAAAACTTAGCTGGACATGGTGGTATGTGCCTGTAGTCCTAGCTAGTCAGGAGACTGAGACAGGAGAATCACTTGAACCCAGGAGGCAGAGGTTGCAGTGAGCTGAGATCATGCCACTGCACTCCAGCCTGGGAGACAGAGCAAGACTCCATCTCAAACACACGCAGACACACACACACACACACACACACACAGTGAATTAGGTAAAGAAAATATGGTATATATATGCCATAGAATACTGCACAGCCATAAAAAAGAACGAAATCATGTTCTTTGCAGCAACATGGATGGAGCTGGAGGCCGTTATTCTAAGCCAATTAGTGCATGAATAGAAAACCAAATATATGTTCTCACTTATAAGTGGGAGCTAAACATGAA